TTTGATATATGATCAGTTTCACTTTCTGTTTCTCATTATTTTTTCTATTGTATTTGTATGTTATTCATACTCATGCAATAAGTAGACTAAATCAGTTTATTGAACTTCTGTCCCAGATCTCCTCCAGATTCAAGTTAACTTACAGTCCTCCAGCATCCCAGAATGCTTTGCACTTCCCTTGTAAACCCCTCTTGCAGGGTGGGCAGGCTAGCCTTGGCCCAAGCTGTCTGCTCCAGTGGAGCAGTGAGGCATGCATTAGTACACTTTGGCTTCTGGCCTGGGCCACTGCAGGCATGTAGCTGCATTTCTAGGATCAAAGATGAATGTTCACTTGCTTAATAATTCAATCTACACAGCTTAGACTAACCTGCAAAGATTGAATCGATTCAGGCTCAGGCTTTGTGACTGTCTGTACTTAGCCTGAGAGGGTGAGGTACTTTGACATGGGACCAAGTGGAGTTGATGAAAGCAAAAGTGGCATAAGCTGCAACTGCAGTGCCATTTTCTATTAGGACATGGGACCATTATTGAGATTGGGCATATAATTAAGCAGCATCCTAAATTCCTAGCTAGTTGCCTAAACAGACAGCTAGAGGCCTAAATTATAATTTTCGTCAGCTTTAGGGATTCAGGTTTTATAAGTGGGCTTATTTTAAGATGCTTTTAAGATTTTAGTGTGGCAGCTTTTATGCCTGTGTATTTTCATTTGCTGCTCTGCTTCGTGTATGGATCGACTTTTAGTTTAACTGATTTTTTTTCTTTCCCTCCTTTCTTGCTGACAGTTTTTTTCAAATTGGGCTAAAAGTGGTTTCTTCCATTCCCCTGCCATTTTAATAAATGCATATTTTTGAGAGGTGAAGTTGCTTTTTATCCCTTTTGTAGATTCTTTTTCTGTGCTTTTTCTAATTCCTCTTTTCTACTTTTTAACCTGTGGTTGTATTTGTTCATATCATTCTGTAATTTTTGTTAAAGACATTTATGTTTCATAGTCCTAATATAACTCTGCTCAAAAACTGGTAAGAAGAGATGTTGTCACTGGTAGAAGTGATACATTTTTGTAGTTTCTGCAATTTTACCGGTATGTAGAGACTCAATATTTCCAAGATATTCATGTCAATATAATTTCTTTAATTTCATATTAATATCATTTCTGACAAGGGTTCATATGCACAGGGAATTCTGAACTACTGTAGTTCATGTTATATAAGTCGAGTTTTGAAGCCCAATTTTTAACTCTTCAAATTCAACTTCAACTTATACACCATATCACCATCCCTTGCAAGCAGCGCCAGGCTTTGTGCCCAACTTATACCAGCCCCTGTGCAGCCTCACTGCGGGCCAGGCATCCAGGGGGATGGGCACATGCTGCAGTACCGCTTGCAGAGATGAGGCCAGGCTTGGTGCTTGGCTGGTGAGTTTCTGTCACCTGCAAGCAGTACTGCCTGGGCTGCATCAGCTGAGTGTCAAGCCTGGCCTTGTCTGCTGTGAGTGGCACTGCCGAGCACCAAGTCTAGCCCCATCCCCTGCAAATTGCACTGTGCTCAGCTGGTGTGGCTGGGCTTGGTGCTTGGCAGTGCTGTTTGCAGTGGATGGGACTGGGCTTGGTGTTGGGCTGGCGCAGCCCAGGCAGCAATGCTCATAGGGGATGGGACCGTGCCAGCCGAGCACTGAGCCTAGCCCTGTCTGCTGCAAGCAGTGCTGACCCCAGGTGCACCAGCTGAGCACTGAGCTTGGTGCCACTCACAGAGGATGGGGCTGGGCTTGGCACTTGCTTGGCAGTGCTGCTCACAGCAGACAGGGTCAGGCTTGGTGTTTGGCTGGTGTGGCTCGGGCAATGCTGCTTGCAGGGGATGGGGCTGAGGCAGTCGAGTGCTGATCCCAGCCCTGTCCCCTGTGAGTGGCACTGTGGCATGTGTCCACCCCCACCTGGGTACCTGGTCCACAGTGAGGGTGTGCAGGGGCCAGTATAAGTCGACCCCATCTTTTTGATCCAAAAAGTTAGGTTGACTTCTACACTGGATCTATGAAATTCCTAACTTTTGGGATCAGAAAAATGGGGTTGACTTATACACTATGTCAACCTGAAATATGGTAGGTAAAAATCCTTATCAGGAATAGTTTTAGAACACTAGGAAGTTAGGAGTCTGTCCCCCTCAGCCCTAACTCTGAAATTAACTTTATTGCTTCTTTGAGTCTCTCTGGATATGTGTACACACACAGTGCAATGCCATATAAAGATACAGATGGAGCTTCTCAGCGGCATAAAGTAGCTCCGATAGAGTGGTGTGTCACCACAGCTCTGTTCCTTGGTTATTTTGACCTAACACTGCATCATGTTGTGCAGATGTGTCTTCTGTCTCTGTTCCCCATCTAAAAATGGGAGTATCAGTACTTAAACTTATACCTGATTCCTAGGTATATTGTGAGGATAACTGAATGAATTTAAAAAGTGGATTGGCTAGAATTGTAGGAACAGACCCATCATTTGTAAAGCATTGTGAGGCAATCCTGAGAGAGGTGCCAAACACTCCCTGCTCTGATTGGTGCCTGCAGGTGAAACTGGGAGTGCTTAGACCATCATGGAATTAAGTCTATGTTAAAGCGTGATTCATTACATTCTTGACATACATGACAATTTTATTTTGTCTCCCGATGTGCTTGTGGTGATTTGCTCTTTTTTTTTTTAAATAAAAAAAAGAATCTTGCTCCATGTGCTGTTGAGGCTCCACTGAGGGTTTTGTGGATAGCAGCAGAAAGGTTCCTTTAATACAAGATTACTGTATGCAGTGGTGAAGAAATGCCGGAGGGTTGTTCTGCCCAGATGAAAAGAGAAAATATCAAAGAGAAGAAATCAATATGATGCAGGAACAAGCAAATAATAACAAAAGAAAGGCATTGGATACTATCTAGACAATTTCAGTCTGGAAGCTAGCCATGGAGAATGTTTTGTCACACACAATTTTGCCCATGGTGGATCCAAATTTCCGAAGAGTTTTGGAAATCTCAGGAATTTGATTACATCTCCAATTAGCATGTGATAATTTGCCAGCATCTTTGTAATGATTTCACAATGTTCTTCTGTTACTGAAATGATATACTGTTATATTTTAATGCCAGCAGGACCAGATTCCTTCTAGATATTAAAGTAGTTCAACTGTAGCTACATTTGGTTCTACCTTATTTTCTAGCAAAATCTAGCTGTGCATATGTGGGCTGTTACTATATATTTATATTGCTTTTTCCAGTCCTTCATATTGTTTGTTACAGCTACTTGTAAGTTGTCATAAACATTATTATAAGCTTTTCAGGGCACGAAATGTCCTGGTCTGTATTTGCACAGTGATTTGTGTTGACACTGTTTGGTTTTTTGCCAGTTTGGGTTGTCTGGAGGAAAGTTAACCTGGATTTCTCCCCAGGTTTCTTGTCACTTGCATTAGGGAGATGAAGAGGCATGTTTGTCTTCAGTCTTATTTAACACTACCATTAATATCAAGGAGCCAGCAGACAATTGTTTTCCATATTTAGAAATACTAAACAGCATTATTAGAAAGCAGAGATTTTCTTGAGCCTACCTCCCATGCAGATTGCACTTGTTATTTGAAAAAAGTTTTTTAAAATTATAATTTGTCAACTACTCATGTATGCTCCCTCCAAACATTCATTGTTTAGTGTTTCTACTGGAGGGAATGCTCTGACACTTCATTAATTATGCAAATTAAGAGTGATACGTTGAGTTATATGGAATAGATTGTTTAGAATGAGAGACTTTAGAATGTTTGACAAAGTAACTTCTACCTCATATACAGTGCAGTCAGAAGTAAGGTTGACATCAATGGTGTAGGATCAGGGCCTAACATTTAGTGCTTTCACATTTAACCTAGTTGATGAAAACATGAACTGTTATAGTGTTTGAGGCAAGCTTACACAGTTTATGCGTTTTGCTTTTTGCACTTTTAGATAAGTTATGATAAAGATCATGGCAGTACTCAGACTAATTCTAATCTCATTTGCACTGCTTTTATGCTATTTTAACTTAAATGGTTTTAGTATTATTGCTTGTGATTTACACTAGTCAGACAGAAATTCTGCTTAAGCATATATATTTTATCTTTCAGGATGTTCTTCCTTCCTGTGAAAAACATATATGCCGTCTCACATAATTTTGTAAAGTTAGCATTGAAACAGTTTCTTTGCTTGACTGGGCTTTTGCAGGGTTTTGGAAGGTCTGTAAACACGAAAGAGGAAATGCAGTTTTACTGAAGATGATAGGAGAGTCAGATTTTTTATTATATGACTTATTTTTGTTGATGTATGATTAGTTTGCCTCTGGCTTAGATCCAGGGTGATAGATAAATAAGCGTATATCCTTTAGTTTGTGGACAGCCCCATTGAAGTCACAGGTTATTTTCTTTGTTAAGACATTAAGTAAACCAAAAACCCCCAACATAGCTTCATCTGAGAAATTGGCTGTGATTTTCTCCAAAGGGAAATTTAAGACATTCTGAAATCATTTGGACTACTATAATGCTTGAAGTATGCAAGGGCTTAAATTCTTACTTGAATTGGGACCCTTAACTGCTTAACATTTTTTTGCTAGACACTTACTTGAATGGCTTAAATTATCATTTTAATGTTTCATATAAAGGAGAGAATTCTAATGAACTCACCAAACCTTCATTTTCAGATAGTGTACAATGCTGGACTTGAGTTGTATTAGTCTACTTTCTGTTGATATCACATATTTTTTTTCTTTGTGTTACTTAAAATTGTTTCTAGCTGATGTAAAACAGCTGTTCTTTGACATCTGTGACTAAATATTTCCTGAGACACTGTCATTTATTTTGATATGGAATTAGGAGACATGGTAGGAAGGTTTGATCTAATCTTTTTTGTCTTACTTTCAGAACAGTGTTTTTTTTTTAGTTGTATTACTTTTCTCATGAGTATTCACTGAATGAAATCCTGGTAATTGTATCTGTTTTTCATTTATTTTCTGACAGATGATTCAAGAGAGCAGGTTTCTTATCGAAACAGCAGACACCATTCATGAGAAGATTGTTCAGTGTCAGAAAGCAGGTAAACTTGTTCTCTGTAAGTCTATGTTCAGTTGGAAAGAGGTGGAAACAACATGCTGTACGTTTCTTAGAGTTCACAACAGGAGAAGCATCTTTTGCCTTTGTCTAAAACAAGCATTATTTTGTTTTACACTGGTACATCCATTCTCCTGAAAACTAGAAGACTCTGTGTCAAGGAAAGAACTGAAGAATTCTCTGTAAGAGATGCTTTCTCCACTTACCTTGCCTACTCCAAAAGTGCTTTGACACTTATACAAATATTTAAATGAGTAAAATTAACTCTTTTTAATGAAAAAGGAGTGGATAAGGTGGGGCGTGTGTAGACGAAACAGGGGCTCTAAACTGAAGTGGTGCTTTTAAAAAGCACTACTTCAATTTAGGGCTGATTAAACGCTTGTGTCATACACATGCCCCACTGCCTTACCTGCCTCTCCAGCAGAGAGGGGAGGGTGAGCTGCCGGTAGGCACAGTGGTCCCTGGGCTGTGGGGAGAGGGGGAGTGCTGGTGCTTCCCTCTGTGACCTTTAAACACAATTAAACTAATTTAGGCAAAAATTTAAATTGCCCTAATGATTGCGGCTGTGCGTTATGTAGCGCCGCAGACCCGTCTGCAGCACCACATACCATGCGTTCAAGTGTTCTCTGTGCTGCAAAGTAGCAGCACTGGGTTTTTGGGGTTTTTTTTACCCTGGGAGGTCCTGGGGTCAAAAAAACACACGCAAAAAAAAAAAAGAAAAGCGGGGAGGTGCATGCGGGGATAGCACTTGCCTCCCAAAACTGGAGTTTGGCCCCCAGGTAAGGCTGCTGGACCCCAGGTAAGGCAGCTGGAGCCAACAGAGTTGCTGGCCCCAGCCTCCCCTACCGCACCTGGGGTAACCTGCTGCACATTGGAGGGTGTGTGGCACAGGCATTCCCCAGGGGCAAGTAGCAGTGCCACAAGGTGTCTTGCTGCTTCTTGTCCCTAGGGAAAGAAACATCTATG